GTGCATAACAATCCTTTTTTTTACACTATCAGTCAAAAGGTGTTATGCTGGGTGTGGTATACGGTTTGTGACTGCACAGTATTGATGATGAAAGTTTGCAGCTTTTATGTTTTTAAAGTTGTATCATCTGTTCAAAAGCCAATGGTAATGAAGGAGGCTGTAATAAGAGCCCTTTGGAAGAACCTGAATTTAGATCAGGTTTGGAAAATTATTGTGCAGTTTCTAATTTGGTTAGAAACTAGAGCAACTGGTACTATGTCAGTTCCAGGCAGTCTTGCAGGACAAATGATTATTTTGATTCACCCAACTTCTGGCCTGGGCTTGGGGCAGAATCTGCCTTGGAAGATGCCTTACGCCAAGAAATAGACTGGCCGAGTATGAGGCTCTTGCTTTTTCTCCGCAAAGCCTCTCTGGGATGAGAATCAGGAGCATTGGGTTATGTCCACTCCCTAAATGGAAACTGTTGGCAGAACTCTTTCTGCTTTCCCTGCTGCGCACCCTCCAAATCTGCTCCAGAGGGTTCAGTGATTCTCCAGAGCAGATGTGCCAGGAGTGTGCAGGGGAAAGCAGAACAAAGAGACATCTGCATGGCCACACATCTGCTCACATGATGTTTGATTTAAGCCATTATACTGCCTTGTTCCACTCTGATCCATAAAACATCTGTTTCTCCCTTGACCACTGGCTTTCACTGCTCCAGCTTCTGTCTGGCCCTCTATGCTTTCAACTTCTACCTGAACAACTGGACCAAGTCACCCAGAACACTGTGCTATGGGGCACTTGTGCATTTGGCTCCTAGGACCTTTAGTGGCCTGCAGGTCAGGCCTCCCAGATCATTTCTGGGTTACCCTATTACTGGGTGCCCAAAGTGAAGGTTAAAATGAGGAAGGTGAACTTATGCCACCCACTGAAGAAACAGTACTAGCTATTTTATTTTATAGAATCCTAAAGAAAAATACAATCTCCCTATTTTGCCTGGCCATAACCAGCTCATGCCTTTCATGTTTAAATTCTATGTCACATTAATGGGAAACCAGGTAGCAAGTTTCTGGGCTCAAGACTCTCTCTTTCCCCCTTTTCTAAATTATTGGTAGTTGAATAAGATGGACTGCATTTTTTTTAATGGAGTACGGTAATAGGTTAATGTCTTAATGATTTGCAATGTGATTAAAGCCAGTGCCTGATGTTGTATTTTGCATTTTTCAAAATCCCCTTTCCCTACCCCATCCCCATGTAATACCTCCCCTCCCCTTGGCTGCACTTGGAAAATGTGATTATATACTTATGGGAAAGGGCAGACCCTATCCTTTTATGCATGAATACAATGACAGGATACGGGAGGCACCACAGACTATCAAGGACACCGTTTTATTCAAATTGCTTAGCACCAAATATTAACTCCCATGCCAATAGTGCATGACATGTGTGTTGGTTCACTTCCACAATTTAACAAGGCTTAACAATTAAACAAAACTATTGCTCTTTACAACCGAAAAGTGTTAAGGGTTTAACTCTGCATCAGGGGGAAACCCGCAATTTTTCATCTTCATCTTCACCTTCTCCATAAATAAAATTAAATCCATAATCCCATCTCAAATTGCAACGTGCTGTAGTAGTTTACATGGAAGTTAACTGAGTGAAAATGTGGAGAGGTTTTTCTCTTTGCTATAAAATAGGGGTCCCGACCTTTGCCAGCAGTAGCACATTTGATATTCTAAGTGTCATAAGTGCACTTGCACAATGAAGTGAACTTCAAAAACTAACAGAATTGTGCAAGTGTGGCTTCCGAGTTTTTGGATATAGCAAATTGATGACGCCTCAGAATATTAACATAATTACAATCTAGGTAAGTAATGAAAGTCTCAAGCAAAGGTTTTATCATGCATACATGTGCTTTGTTCAGGCTGTGTGGTATGATAAGCAAACTTCCAAAAAGTAAAACCATTACTGAAATCATGCCATTACAGTTATAACATACAAGAAATTCCCAATATGATTTTATGCCCCCAAACACTTACATAGGGTGGTGCAGAGAAACGGGAAATTTTGGAACTATGAGTTGGAGACCCTGGGGTGTCGGCAATTGTTTGGAACCAATGCAGCTTCATTTGGAACCCCTTGCCATTAGTTCTAATGGAGCACTGGGGTGGTGCGCGATGAGCGTTCGCTGTAAAAGCCTTTTATAAGAATGGTGATAATGTGACAGCTGCGCAGAGGGAATTTCGGCATCATTACCAGTTAAGACATCATGATCGTGTCCCATCTGCTCATGTGATTACATCATGGGTGCATAATTTCAAAGAAACGGGTTCAGCCTCAAAAAAGAAGTCCCCAGGTGGTGTTTGAACGGGCTGCACACCAGAGAATACTGAGGCTGTTCAGCTGCCATCGTGAGGAGCCCTCGCAGCTCCATTCAACAGCACTCGTAATCGCTGCATTTGGGGCGACGAAGCATGCAAAAAATACTGCATGAGCTGAAGTGCCATCCCTACACATTGCAGATTGTGCGGGAACTCAAACCCAATGACCACGTGTTGTGTCAACGGTTTTGTGAATAATTGCTGGCTAAAGTCAACGAGGACGCCAATTTCATTTCATGCAATGGTGACATTCCATGGCCTCTGAGATCCCCAGATCTCATGGTCTGTGATGCTTTTTCTGTGGGGACATCTTAAAAGTCAAGCATGCCGCACACGTCCTGCAACCATTGCTGAACTAAAAAGGTGGTTTGAAGAGGAAATCGCTGACATTCTTCTTGACATGTTACATCGAGCAATACAGAATTTCCACTGGCTGTCAGAATGTCTATGGAGAAATGGCCAACACCTTCACAATGCTATCTTCAAACATAAAATGAATATTGATTACCATCATTAATTGCGCAACCCTGTACAATACATTTCATCAGAAAATGCATTTTGTAATGTGATTATTTGTACATTGAACACCAATTGAAAATTTCCGATTTCCCTGCGCCATCTTGTATTTGCATTTGAGTTTCCCCTGGGCAACTGGTTTAATTTAATTTAATTTAATTAAAACATGTCTATGCTGTCCTTTGCAACAAAGGGAGGCTTACAAACAATAAAAATAATGGTATAAAATACAATTAAAACATTCAAAAATAACACAGCATAGACAACAATTCGTAACTAAAGAAAAAGAAAAGAAGGATAGAAGAAGACAAAATGTGACTGTGTAAGATTATTACTAAAAATATTGATAATAATTATTAAAATGGTAGTAAAATAAAAAGGTCTTTACCTGGCGCTGAAAGGAGTCAAGAGACAGCGCCAGGCAGACCTCTCTGGAGAGCACATTCCATAAGTTGGGCCCTCCTGCAAGTAGTTTCCCTCTGTACCTCCTTCAAAGAGGGTTCCCGGAGCAAGGCTGCTGTGTGACCAGAACACTGAACTGGATTGAGTCTTGGTCTGGTTTCATCCCCCAGGGCTTGTCTTCTTTTGCTCCTGTCATATGGTTACTCAGTGGTCAGTCCACTAGGTACAGTCTGTTTTACTCTTGAGTAAAAGGGGAACTGGTTACAGCTTTGCACTTGTATCTAGTATATTCAACATTCTATATATCGGTACACCTTCTGTGCATTTAAAAGTGACTCAAAGGGCAGAAATCAACAGAAGTGGCTTTCTCCATCATCATTTCTGCAAAGCTTCTCACTATGTATGGGTCTGAAAGCTGAACAAGAAAGCTGACAGGAAGAGAGTATGCATAAGAAACATGGTGCTGGAGGAGAGCTTTATGAATATCCTGGGCAGAGAGAAAAACAATCAAGCGGTTCCTAGATCAAAGCAAGCCAGAACCTGCCTCGGAAGCAAAGGTGATGAAACCGAAGCTCCTGTACTCAAAGTACAACATGAGAGGGCAACACTCACTGAAGAAGACAATCATGCTAGAGGGAGTCAAGGGCAAAAGAAGAAGACCAACAATGAGATGCATTGATTTCATAAAGGAAGGGATGTCAAAGACAAGACACTTTGGTGGGCACTCATTTTTGGGGTTGTTATAAGTAACATCAACAGGAAAAGCTTCTCCTGTTTGGTTCTGCCAACATTTGGTGGGGTGGGGGCTTAGAAGTCATAGAAATAGTGTAGGTAATCTAAGCCCCCACCTCAACCCCAGGACTGCGCCATTTTTACAGTTTCTGGCATTTTTCCCCGCCGCAGCTGCTGCTGTGTTTGCACTGGTGGTAGCAGTAGTGGCAAAATTTGTACTGATTTAACAGGAAAACATGAAACCAGGGGAGCACGAGCCTCATTTCCTAGCTGCTGGAAACCTCCCAGAAAAGCAATCTGGCTTTGAAAGAAGGTGCATGGGGAGCTAAATTGGCATGACTTCTGCCGTGGCAAATTCAGTAGCCGCTGCAGTAAATTCAGGGACTGCCAGATGTACTGCCAGAGTGGCAAGGTGACATATCCCAGACGTGTCTCACACCTGCCCTACAGTCCATAATGAAATTCTGAGTGAGTAATTTTGTTTTGGAAAATTGTTCCAATAACTTTGTTTGGAAAAATTGCAGGATGGAAAAAAATCAATGTTTAAAAAAAATAAGATTTTTAAAATTTAAATCAGATTTGTATTTAAATTAGAATTTTAAAATAAAATGTTTTGTGAGGAAAAGTCTGTCTAAAGATGGTTCTGTTGGAAATGCATTATAGTCCAAATCTTAGTCATAATGAAATAAGGATTAGCTTTTAATTATGTAGCATGAGGCTATATATTCATGCAATGTTTAAATTTTTTGGTAAATAAATTCCATTAATCCATTCATAATGTCATGTTCTTCCAGAGGGTTCAGTAAGATTATTGGGCTATTTTTCAATGTAGAAGATATTATCACAGATGCTTGGGTTTGCAATTCTTAAAACTGTGGAGTTGTGTCTGCAGAGATCACATGCCTCTTCTTCACAGCAAAAATGTTATAAAATAAACATACAGAGTTGAGAAGATCTTAATCTCATATTTCCTGTGCAAATCTGTGTACACAGCATCAACCCCTTACCTCTTAAGTGCTAAATTAAAAAAAAAATCAATGAATAGAAGAATGTTGGGACTGGAATAGATCTGCACTAGAAGCTAAGTTGAGAAGGGAGGGGCAAGCAACAAACCTTTTGAGCAAAATACTCCAACAAGTCTTTGAATCTTTGTGTGTATAGCCTGAGGTGTATTGCATTATTCTTTCCCTGAAGGAAAGAATAATGACAGCAGGCCATAAAAGAGATCCAGTTTGGGAATATTTTAATGAAGTTCCTCTACCTACAGGTGAGGCATGCATGCATGCAAATTATGCAGAAAATCGTGATTTAAATCAAATCCACCCTAAAAATTATATTATAATAATTGTCAAAACCTTTAAATTTGATATGAAACAACCTGAGCCTCGCACAATGTGATTTGCTTGCAGTATGGGCTGAAAATGTGAATGTTAGCAAAACCGTATTATGACCACTATCCCCAGCACAACAGGCTACCATCTTTTACACCAACGGGAAGTCTCAGTTTGTGTGCCACACTTTTGGCTTGCAAACCACCCTGAAAACCTGTGGCTTGTAGTGGGGTCTCCTTGACCCATGGATTGTCCTGTCATCTAAGCCCAGACAACATGACCCATTGTTGGTAAAACCAGAGCACTATCAAGCTGTTTGGTAAGAATAGCAAAAAATAAAAACCTTGCCTTCTTGCCAAGTGGTTCTCCAGCAGCTGCCACTGCTGGCCACGCAACTCCCCCACAAGAAGCAACTGGGGGCAACTGGCAGAGTCTTTCTTCTTCCCTGCCATAGGCCACTTTGGGCTCTCCTGTGGCTTGACTTCTTTTAAAACCATTTGGTTGGCTGCTTGTTTGTTGGAGATCTCAAAAGTCCACTATCAAGTTGGCTTTCCCCATTCGTTTGGGCAGTTACAAGCAGCACCTCCAAGGTGTCTCAGCGGCACCCTGCAAGGGCAGCCCGTGCTTAACCTCCTTCTCCCAATAATGTGCACAAATTATTGCACCTTTTTTACTGTGACATTTGCACAACTTTGGCATGATGGAGATTTGCACAAGTTTAGCATGACAGAGTAGTGGGGGTATCATGGGCAGGGTTGTGTGGGGGCGGCTTCTGGTGTGTGTAGAGCCAGTGCGGTGCAGTGGTTAAGAGCATGGGACTGGGACTCAGACGACCTGGGTTCGAGTCCCCGCTCAGTCATGGAGCCAACTGGGTGACTTTGGGCCAGTCACAGACTCTCAGCCCAACCTACCTCACAGGGTTGTTGTTGTGGGGATATGATGGGGGAGGAGAATGATGTAAGCTGTCTTGAAACCTTTGTAGGAAAAAGGCAGGATATAAATCGGGGGGAAAATAAATAAATAAATAAACAAACAAACAAACAAACAAACGGCATCTACCCCAGGCTGGAAGGATTTCCCCCCTTTGAAACTCTCTGACAAGCGGCAGATGCCGGAGGCTTGCAAGACCCTGGAAAGTCCTTATTTGAGAAGAGGGACACCCCTGCTCCTTTGCAGGAGGGCCCTCAGGTTTGAGGGGGGAGTCAACTGTACCTGGTGCCCCCTCAGTTTTGAAAGTATCCAATGGGAGCTCTGAGTTTCACAGACATCAACTTGAAGCTCCATTTTTGAAGTCGGATTTGGAAAGATTTCTTTCATTTCATTTTGGCCAGGGGGGAGTACAGATATATAATGCTATCTACCTGCAGTTTTTTCTGCCAAAATTGAAAATTTTAAGCCCTTGCATACCCTACTTCAGAAATGGAGGTCTGTGACTTGACACTTTGGGTGAACAGTTAAAAGCACACTAACTCCTGCCAATGGGAATCCCTTCAAGGTTTGCAGTTCCTTCTGGGTAATTGCAGCCACAGGAGAAAGTGTGGCGCATCCGAGCACCCCAAATCCCCAAGGACAGTGCTGGAAAAGGAAATGGCATTGAGGGGATCCCCCAAACAGCAGGTTCTTTGGGGGTTCGATGATGCTTACATGGCCACATGTTATCTTCACTTAGAAAACTAAGCATAGCCCATGCACACATGACCACCCCGAAACAACCCTGAAGATCTGCTGAGGAGGGTTATTTTGTGGCACCAATCCTTGAAAGAAGCTTTGAAGGAGGGTTTTGCAAAGTGCTATAAAGTTGCTTTGGGGCATGTATCCAATACATTTTTATACCTCTCAATGGCCAGAGCTTTCTAGCCTGTTTACAAAACACACACAACTCTCCATCCAGGTATTTCTCCAGATAGCTTCCTGCAGCAAGCAAAAAAAAAAAATTTGGGGAACAGAATGGGTGGCATGGGAAGGTGCTGGTGAAGGCCAGCCCCTAGTAATTAAAGGCTTTTGCAATTTTGAGCAGAAAGTGAGAAGAAGTGAATGCAGCCCCCAGGTAAGCCTTGCTACAAGCACGAGCAACATGTAGTATTGGTCGGAACTTGTGATCCCCACAGAAGTAAACTCAGTTTCTTTCTCTGTGAAGCATAGCTATGATTATTATGCTGACCCTGCATGACTCCTGGAGTTAAACAATAAGTAATCAAGGCTACATTTGTTTGGTTAAAAAAGAAAGTGCCTTAACTATTAACTAGGAGCAAATGAATCAGACAGCTCTGGCTCTGGCTGAAAGCTGGAGCAGGAAAGGAGAAGCGCTGCAAGGGACATTCCTGCGTGTCCAAGGTAAACACCCGGCTGCTGCCTGAGCAGATGGGCTGGGCTGGGCTGGGCTGGTGCAGGCAGCAGAGGGCCACGCTGATTCACTGGCTCCACACGCTCGTGCAGGTGCAGCTGGGTGGGGGTGCGGTGCCCTTTGCAGCTGCCAGAGGCGAGCGCAGGGCAAAGGGAGGCGGCGGCCCACGCGGGAAGCCAACTGTGGCCAACTGCAGTTAGAGCAAGTACAGCTGGCCAGGACGCAAGGCAGCCTGTCCTGGGCCGAGCAGAAGGCAGCAGCAGGCAAGCATGGAAGTGCCCCCACGCGAGGGCCCCACCAGCTGAGGGGAGCTCTGGCAGCCACCGTCCTGCTTCCTGTGCAGCTCTCCAAGCAGAGGAGCCCGCACCAGGAACGTAGCACCCCTTAGGAGGCTGAATGTGTGGGGCGGGTGGCATCCCTCCCTTTACTTTGCATGCTTAAGCAAGGGAAGGCGCTTCGCCCATCAAGGCAGGTCTGTGACCCTCCTGGCAAATGGTTCACCAGGGGCTTGATAAGACTGCCAATTGTTCCTATACTGGCAACCACAGGGTTGTATCATTTGGCTCGATGAGTCAGATGCTGTGCAGACCTGCATTCTTACCACATAAATAGCAGATAACTGAGAGAGGCAAAGACTCGCCCGAAATGTGAGGAAGATGGCTAGATTTTAGCAATGCCCACTCCTAGCCATCAGCAGTGCTGCTTTGTGTGATGCTTTTGTGGGGGTAAGAAAACTAGCAATTGCACCTGGGTTGGAATGGGAGCTAGCTTTAACCCCGTGCCTTACCTAGCCATACAGGGAAATAATCTCTCTCTAAAGAGAGCCAGTGTGGCCTAGTGGTTATAGTGCTGGGTTACAACTCAGATCTGGGTTCTGATCCCCCCCTCAAGCATGAAACTCACTAGATGGAGTTGTGCCAGTCACTAACTCTCAGCCTAACCTACCTCAAAGGGTTGTTGTGAGGCTAACAGGGAGAGGAGGGGCTCTATATAAGCCTCTGCCACTTCCTTGAAAGAGGAAAAAAGGCAGGATATAAATGTTCTGATAATGACAAATAAAGAACACATTATCCTAACTGGACAAAAGAGAAGAAAATAGGAAAGCCTCCATTACCCCTTAGGAGACCAATAAGGCAAGGGTGAAAATGCAGAATGGGAAGGGGGGCCTGACCCACCCCCCCAGACCAGAAGTCTTCATCAGTGTCTTTGATTAAATGCACCGATAGCACTGCCCTGCTCCTTGCATGTTTTGCTGAGAGGCAAGGGGAATGGCCACTCCCCATAAAGCTGATTGAATCCTTCCTCCACATCCCCCTTATCTCTGGTTTCACAGCAGAAATTCCTCCAGGATGTGTGGCTGGGAAGCCTGCTCACAGCAGGGACCTAAGGAAACGCCACAGAGTGGCTGTGGAGCCGCCACAGGTCTGCGGTTTTGCATCCAGACTGTAGGAGAAAAAGGTCCTGCAGTTCAAATGAAGGGAAGCACCTCTTTCCTCCACACCACATCAAGTGAAAGGAAATCTTATAGACCAAACTGAAGCTTGGTTCCAGCCTTGAACCCTATTGGGAAAAATCCGGCGCTCAGATGGATCGGAGTTCAGAATACTTAGTTAAGGGATCTGACCCTGTATAAGACTGCTTCCTATGGGGCATATCAGAACCTACTGAACTGAACTCAAGCCTCATTCATTTCAGTGGTCTACTCTGCATAGGCCTAAGAGCAGATTCTAACCTATGCTTCTGTGCTTTTTTATTTCTGTCTGTATGGCAGTTGGATAATTTCACATGACCAATGGAATAACGAGGGGAAGTCTCAAGAGGTCAAAAAGACCTATGCAGTTTTATTCCAAGAAGTAGCCTTCTTCTTGGGAAAAAACCACATATATTTTTGAACATCCTGAGACTTGGGCTCTTTATTCCATTGAACCTCTTTGGATGTTCTGCAGTTCTGCTTTAGCCAGTTATTTTGCACGCAAATACCCTTTCCTAAGGGACTGCAGGTGGCGCAGTGGTTTAAACCGCTGTGCTGCTGGGCTGGTAGATCCAAAGGTCACTAGTTTGAATCTGCACAACGGGGTGAGTTCCCGTTGCTCCATCCCAGCTCCTGCCAACCTTGCAATTCGAAAGCATGCAAATGCAAGTAGATAAAAAGGTACCACTTTGGTGGGCAGGTAACAGCGTTCCGTGCACCTCGGTGTTTAGTCATGCTGGCCACATGACCACGGAGACTGTCTGCGGACAAACGCTGGCTCCCTTGGCTAGGAAACGGAGATGAGCACCGCTCCCTAGAGTCAGGCATGACTGGACTTAATGTCAAGGGGAAACCTTTACGTTTACCTTTCCTAAAAGGCAGTGTGTGGTTATTACAGTGTTGGGTGATTTGGGGAGGTGAGGGCAGACTGGTGTTTTCATGCTTCTGAGGATACTGAGACAATTTATTCATGTTGGCTTGGCTGGCTTGATCTCTGTCGATGGGCAATCGGGGTCAAAGAATGTTAGCATTTTCTTAATGACTTGGAATGAGGTCTGAGACCAATGCTTAGGAAATGGATGTGCAGTTTTTCCAGTACGACACATGCCATACTTGGACGACATTTAATGGTAGTTTGACTAAGCAATCGTGAGGAAGAGGCCTTGCTGGTCACTCCAAAACGACCAGAACATCACCATCTAATTTTCTAACGACAGACCTTCTCAGTAGCAATGCTCAAGTTGTGAAGATGCTTCTCCATGAAATCTGGGAGGCAGAACATTTGGTATCTTTTAAATATCTTCTGAAAACTCACCTGTTCACCCAAGCTTTCCCTGGCTAGTCATTAAAGCAGCTATGCCATTCGTTTTACTACTGTTATACTGTCCTGTAGCATCACTGAAATTGCATTGTTTTTAAAATTGAATTTTAGATGTGATTTTAACATGGATATGGAAAACACTTTAAAAAAATACTCAAGTCATTTAGAGATAGATTGAATATTTTAGTGCAATGAGAATGAGCCATGTGGACTTTGGGGCTTCTATGTGCCTCCTCATCTTTCTTCACATTTGGCACAGCTGTGCACAGAAGTTTGGAAGCTTTGGTTGCCATTTTTGCTTAACCACAGCTCCTTGTGTCATTCAAATTGACAAACTGGTGCTAATGTTAACTATGGTTTATTTGAAACAACTGCAAACTGTGTGGTTTGAGCTATGGCTTAGCATGACGCCCGATTCCAACCTAATGCCCATGACATTTTAAAAGGCCAGGGCTGAACGGGCCTCTGGCTTTCCTGCTCTACATGCTCCAGTTCCATCCCTCTTCCCTGGATTGGGCTACAACCTCCAAACAAAGTGAGCTATAATTTGCCTTCAAACTGGAATAAAAAAACCTGTATCAGATTTCTAACTTTGATTCAGAAGCAAAGCAGTTTGCCTTATAGCCAAGTACCATAGCAAATGATGCCTTGTTCAAACCAGGAAGAAGGGACTCCAGGAACTGAAGCCCTTTTGGTTCTTCTGAACCAGGTGAAACACCTGACGAGTTCAGGGACTCACTGCAGGACTGTCTGCCTGCTAGAGGAATGTGTGTCCAATATGCTTTGCATACATATAAATGAAACAAACATTGCAAATACAGACCTCTAGTGCTCTCTCATCCTAAGGAAACAAAATGCTAGTGGCATCACCTAAATATTTTCATGTCCCTCAAACTGTAAAATGCTAGGTAACTAATGTCCTTCCTAAGGATTACAAAATATCCTTTTATTGAATAGCTCATGCCACAACACCTGGAACGGAAGCATCAAACACCAAACATCCCTGGCAGAAAACCAAATGGAAATTTTATTATAGTTCTTCCGCTACTTTTTAAAAATGAGAGTCAGACAACCTATTATATCTTAACCATTTAAGAGTACAATCCTATGCATATTTAGGCAGAAAAAAGGCCTACAAGGCTATGCTGTCTGGGACATGCTGGAAGCCATAGGCCTTTTATTCCATATAAACATGCATAGGATTCTCCTTAAATGGCTTATTAAAAAACAAACCCTAATTATTATTTGTTTCAAAGCCTTGTTGCCTTTTCCAGAGGCTTGGCAGCCCAGAAAACAGACTTTTCTTTTGATTCTACCCAAGGCTTGATAGAGTAGTAATTACATCCTTAAAAAGAAGTTGCACATTTGGTATAGCCATTAAGTCTCTAGTTTGTACTCACTTTCTAAGCAAAGGAAGGACAGATGAACACAAACACAACTGTTTGCTAATCACTGCATTAAACTACTTAGCAAATGTATTGATTGTACTAAAACAGTATTCTGAAATTCCGGCCATCTGTTGTCTTTTAATGTGTGATATCATTGAATTGGAATTTCAGGTCTTCATTAAAAGATTCGTCACTGTGATTACAAGACAAACACCTGATTACCCATATATCAAGTAACTACTACTTGTGACAGAAGATGCCATACTTGGGCCATTTTTTTCCCTTTCTGAACTCTTGTGGTTTGTTACTCATAGATCAGAGCAGTGATACCCTAACCATGAGTTGCAAGAGAATGAAAAAATGCCCTGAAATGTTGAGCAGCTATGTGAGATGCATCTATCCACCCTTATGCCCCTAGAGCAAAAAGGTTGATATGAACTCAATCCTACTCTTTTCCTCCTCCAAACAGTCCATAAATGGGCAGCAAGATCATTCTATGGAAAGAAGTGCTGGGATTCCTTGAGGCAGCGTACTCTGCAGCTAGCAGGAATGGAGAGACTCTAAACACATAATCAATGTTCAGAATGCATCATGCTAGACTTAAGCTTTGAGGGTTGTGGTAGGTATGTGCAGTAATCACAGGTGTGTTAAACATGTGTCTGTCTCATTCACACATAGGATGCAAACAGGGTGTATTTGACAGGGAACAAGATCCGTTACCTTTTTCCACTCTAGGATCCACAGCTTTTGAGCAAGCTTTTTGGAGGACAGAGACGGCCTATATTTCTTGTTTAGCACTGAATGCTTGCTTTCAGTTCACTGTGTATATTACAGCCTGAGAGAATGTAAAGTGCTTCACATGGATAATTCTCATCCTAGATGGATAAAGGTTTGATGGTGTTTGATATTATCCCCAAATGCCGAAGATTCTGAGAGATCCCAAGGTGTTTTGTTTTGTTTGTTGAGCCATGTAATGAGGTCATTGCAAAGATGATTTGAAATCTTCTCATGTTTTTAGGGCAATCTGCAGGTATTTTGCAATTATCCCCTTCTCTTACATTTAGTGTGCTTGAGCCTTGCATGAAGACGCGGTTATAAATGAAGATGCAAGCAAATGATCAGGGCTGTGTATGTTCATAAAAAATAAAATTATGCACCAAGGATACCTGTTGTATCCTTGGTGCGTAACTGTTGTAAATGACACAAAATATTGATGCCACACTCACAGCCCTCTCTTTGATTTCAGCATTTCTTTGCACATTCAGACAGATCTCTGTAGGCATAAGAACTAGTAGAAATCTGTTGTAAGAGGGGGAGGGGCTCCAGAAATTATCAGCTGAATTATGCACCCACTGCCTTATTCTGCTTCTGCACAGTATATGCAGCCAGGCATGTGGCAGTGCATAATTATTACTGAGGATGCAATCCTATGCATCTTTAGATAGGATAGGAGTTATCCTATAACTCCTAGCATGTTTCCAGCCAGTGGAGATGTAAGACTCCTTCCATCTACAGAAGTACACAATGGTGACTTTAGTCCTATTTTGTCTAAGGTCCATAAATTGACAATTTTGATTTTATCCTATTTTATTTTATTTTTGAAAATTGCAATCTTGGGCCTCTTGATGCAGTGTTTCCCATACTTCCGATAACTGGGACACAGGTTCAATGTGTGTTGATTGAAACTGGAGATGCAAACTACCTGATGCTCAAAAATGTACATATAAGCTCAAACAACTGCCAGAATGTTGGGAAGGTTACAGATTTCAAAAGATCCCAGCTGGCATTGCTTCTTTCTGCCACCATTTCATTTTTACTTTTTAGAAACAAACATACATAGCTTCTGCATTCATAACCACTTCCTCAGTCATGGCTCCAACATAACATGGGAAAACATGATGGCATTCAACATATCTGAATGTGCTCCAAAACATGTGAAAGATATCAAATTGTCTCTAATGACCTCGTTAGATGGTTTACCACTAGCAAACCCTCTGCGGCTCTCACCATCCTCTTCAGAAATTGAGCATAATAATTTCACAGTTTGAGTACACTAAGCTTAGAGGGTTGAAAAAGGGGAAGGGCTTTCTCTGTGGCCGCCCCATCTTTGGAACAACCTCCCTAGAGTGGCCAGCCTAGTGCCAATTTTGTCTTCTTTTCAACACCAGGTTAAGTTGGTGTTTTATACCAATGCCTTTTAAGACCTTCTTGAACACCCAGGATTTGAGGGGAATATCCAACCTTTTTTACAGGGTCATTCTTTGTTACTCTTTATTTGTTTAAACTTTTAAATTTTTGTACTGGTTTAATGACACTGGTATTGTATCATATTGTCTCTTTTATGAACTGCTTGCAAACCACCCAGAGAGCTTTGGCTGGGGGTGGGGTACAGCACTGAAATTAATGTTAGTAACAACAACAACAACAACAACAACAACAACAACAATGCACTAGGACTTACTTCTGACTAAAGATGCAGTGTGGCAAAGCTCTTTTGAGGATGGAATTCAGCACCTCGATAGTGCCTATTTATATTTTTCTATACTGTCCTCTACAAAATAGTCTCAGGATGGTCTTACAACAAAGCAAAGCACAGCCTCATTTCCATACAGTAAAACCCCGACTAAAATAGCAATCTAAACCTTAAAACACAGGGAAAATAAGAGGATTTTGGCCTGGCGCCGAAAAGAATAAGGTATGGACGCCAGGTGCACCTCTCTGGGGAGCATGTGCCATAACCAGGGAGCCACTGCAGAGGAGGCCCTTCTCTGGGCAGCCGCCCTCCTAATCTCCCGGCTCCCCGAGAAGGACCTCCGGAGATCGGGCAGGCACCTATGAAGCTCAAAAGAAAAGCTGTAATGGAGGAGGAAACCCACTGACTTAACCCTCGCCCTACAAGCAGGCAGGGCCTTCCAGGCCGCGGCGTGGGGGATTCCAGCGGGTCCCCCACGGCGGAGCTAAAAGGTAGGAAGTGGCGGGGAGCCTGGCGAAGTCGTACCCGCCCGCCCGTCCGCCGTGTCCTTCCGTGTGGCTTCTGCAGCGCCTCGCTTTCGCCCGAGGCCGGTCCCTCCTCCGCGTCGGCGGCCTCCGCAGCTTCTCCCGCCGGGCGAGCCTCCGAGCCGCCGCCGCCGCCGCCGCCGCCATGGAGTCCATCGAGGAGCTGGCGCTGGGCCCTTGCGCCGCCTCCGCGTACCTGCGGCCTTTCCGGCTGCGCTACCGCCAGGTAAGCCGCGGGACAAGCGAGGAGGCGCGGGCCGCCATCGCCGCTCCGCCCGCCCTGCCTCTTCCGCCGCCGGCCCTGCGGCCGCGAGCGCACCACGCGTGACGAGGCCGGGCGCCGTCCGCCGAGGCCGCAGCTCGGCGGGCGCCTGAGCGGGACCGGTGGGAGGGGAGCGGCCTTCCCGCGAGTGCGGCAGAAGCGGTGGGGCTCGAGCCTTAGGCCTTGCTCGATCACTGGCCGGGGTCTCTGCGAAGGGGCGAGGCGCTCTGCACGCGGGCAGAGGTGGCCTCCTGGGTGGCCGGTGCCGGGAGGGAGGAGGCCCGCCCTCTGCGGAGACTTGCCGTTTTGTTCGCAGAAATACAGCGAGAAGCGCCTAAGCTGCGAGGGAGTGACTCTGAGCGTGGGCAGAGTGCCAACCCCTGCGAGGGAGCATGCTTTTCCAAAACTGTTACTAATAATTAATTATTAGTCCCTGGGAGCATGGGCGGGAGGTGCTTTTGCATTCATGGTCTGCTTCTGGGCTTCCCACAGGCTGTCGCTTGGCTGCTTTGTGATGAGAAAGATGGATCCCCGCTCTCATCCAGTACAGTTCTTGTTATGATTATCTACTCCTGCTTCCTCCTCCTTAATTGGCCACCTTCCATCAAAACCCTGATAACTGGGATTACGCGATTCAGAGCATGAGCAGGGCTCCAAATCCCCCAAGGGGATGTATTGTTATTACATCCGCGAGCCTGCAGTTTAAGGGGTGACGGGGGGGGGGAGCGGGGAAGGATCCTGCCCTCCAGGGCTGGACTGGGAATGGCTTGAGGTTAAAAGGCAAACGGGCTCTTGCACCACTGTGCAGATGCAGTTGGAGATGCACCCAGTTGGAGCACCCAGGCATGCTCGGCTTCCACTATTATCTATTAATACGTAGGTGCCTTTGTGTCATCCATTTCTGGCAACTGGCCCATAGGGGGGGAATATAGTTGGCTACGTGTCAAACTGGTTTCTGTATTGCTGAAAACCAATTCCAGTGCCAGCACACCCACACCCTTGCATGCACTTTTGTGCAAACACGAACACACTTCCCCTTTCACCAAAATGTTGCTCTGATCCTTTCAACACTATCTCTGTCCCCTGTTTGTGGCTGTTCTAAGCTGCCAGTTTTCTCTTGCTCTTTTTCATGTTCTGTTTTATAGGGGCTCAGCTAAGCTGCTCCATGCCTCTTCGCAAGCCCAGTGTCCCCTGCTGAGGCAGAACTGTATGAAAGAAAATCTGTGCAATGAGAAGGGAATTGGGGATAGGAAAGCAAGTTGACCAGAGCACTAGCAAAACAGCCGTGTGCCTACAAAGCCTTAGCTAGCACATAGGCTTCAGAAATAGAGCTGTACCTGTGTGCACAGAAAGATGTCTCATTTGCAGCTAAGATGACACTCACCGATGTGCCCTTGCAACAGAATATGGGTGCAATTCTATGCATTTTAAGCAGGAAAGAAACCTCATTGCCCAAATCAGCATGCTGGCTGGGAATGCTGGGAGTTGTGAACCTTTTTGTTTCTAAACATGCATAGGCTTTGTCTTAAATCTATAGCTGCAAGACAGAGTCTGGATGGCCCTAGGATTTTCAGAGGCACAGTTATAAGGTTGGAAAAATTTTTGACTTCATGGTTGGCTCTCCACAGCCACGAGGGGCATTCAGTGTATTCTCGGTATCAGCATGAAGAAAAAGGAATAATAAATTGAAATATTTTTTTTTCAATGTAATCCCCCATAACTTCAATACACTTATTACATCTAGAAATTCACTTTTCAATTCCCTGTAAAAAATACCCTTCCTCCTTGTCTAAAATATGTGCATTAATTGCCGCCTTGAGCTCTTCATCGTCGGAAAATCGCTTTCCACGAAGATCTTTTTTAAAATTTGGGAATAGGTAGTCACTGAAGACCAGGTCCGGGCTATAGGGTGAGTGGTTTATTTCTTCGAAACCACAATCTCGCACAGCAGCCTTCGAAACACGCGCCATGTGAACGGGCATGTTGTCGTGAAGAAGTAATATACCAGCAGCCAGTTTCCTCCGCCTTTTTTCTTCAATTGCTTCTCTTAAATTATGCGGAGTGGTTGTGCAAGATGTTGCGTTTATGTTTTCACCTTTTTTCATGCACTCGATCAATAAAATTCCCTTTGAGTCCCAAAACACTGTGGCCATGATTTTTCCGGCCTATGGAGTGACTTTGAATTTCTTCAGAGGGTCAGCACCTTTTTTATGCCACTGCATGGACTCCTTTACTTTCAGGGTCATAGTGATGAACCCAAGTTTCATCTCCAGTAACAATCCAGTTGAAAATACTCAATGGATCTTCACAGAGCTCTAAAAACTCCCTACAGCACTCAACTCGCACTTGTTTCTGAGGTGCCATGAGCATTCGCGGCACCCATCTTGCGCAGACCTTTGAAAGGTTAAGATGGTCATGAAAAATAGTAAATATGGTACCAACGGATAGGTTTGTCATCTCTGCTAACATTTTGATTTTTATTTGGGCATCTTCCAATACAGGTTTCTCAATTTTTTTCACATTTCCTTTCGTAGTGGCAGTAACCGGCCCCCCCGAGCGAGGGTCGTCTTCAGTGCTTTCTCTGCCTCTTTTAAATTCACTTGACCACTTTTGAACAGTAGATATTGAAGGTGCCGAGTCCTGGTAAATGGCCACCATCTCCTTGTGAATGATTTTTTGACTGTTTCCTTGTTTCATAAGGAACTTAATCACAGCTCGGTGCTCGATTTTCTTCAGCATTGCCACGTCAGTCATCATGGTTGTCTTTCACTGAGGATTACTAGGGAACTAATGATCACACTTATTTGAAATGTTGCCTGTATACCCTCAGATAGTGTCATTAGCTAATGAAATAATTAAATTACCCACATCAATATCAAATCAACCCGATACCGAGAATACATTGAATGCCCCTTGTAGAACACCCTCACCCAGCTGCCACAGCCTAGTCAGGAGTGTAACCCATGGATGGCATTTAGGGAGTGTCGAATGGGCAGAAACTGGAGGAGACAAGTGTGGCCAGGATGAGGTATCCTGGTGGCACTTCAGTAGCTTTCCCTCCCATTCGGAAGTACCTCAGCTAGATGGCCAGTCATCCAGGGCTGGAGGAATGTGGAATAGACCTTCCCCTCCAGGCTATTCCTTCCCTCCATAGGGTGCTCTTAATCGTCCAAGTAGGGAGGTTTAAAGGCATCCCGAGTGAATCAGTGAATCGCTCCCTTCATTCCACAAGTCTTTGGATTATTTTTCCTCCTCTCTCTTTTCATGCAGAGAAACCTAGATGCCCTAGGTCTGCACACTTTTTTCTGGCATTTCAAATGCTAGCATGGGAGTTTGAGAACCTTAATCCTAGAAACAGTGTTAGTACACAAAAAGAAGGTAGAAGTGGTCAGATGCCTCTGGGAAGCCCAGAAGGCGGGCTTAAAGGAAGGGCGCTTGTTGTCCGGACTGCCTCAATCGTAAGACCACATTCCACGAGCCTTGTAATTGCCATAGCTATTGTGAGAACCCCTTGATGTGGTCTCAGTTCTATTGTAAAGTTAAAATGCAAGTACAACATTGGGGTACTGATACGTTTTCCTTTATAAAGAAACCTTGTTCCTTTCCCCTGAACTGATGAGTTAGGTATGAAACACCTTCTTAGTCATACAGTTTAGTATAGTCTTCTTCTGACTTCCAGTCAGCTTCCTTGTCTGCACTTGAGAACATAAGCATAGTGCTGGACCAGATCAAGAGTCCATCTTGACCTGCATTCTGTTCACACATTCTGTTCACTGAGGAAAGCTGGCAAGCACGACATGAGAGCAACAGCACCGTCCCACTCATGTTCCCCTGCAGCTGGTACATACCAACTGATTGCCCTGATCCTAGAAGTAGAATGCAAACATCACAACCAGTAGCTATTGGCAGCCATCTCCATGGATTTGTGTAACTCCCTTTTAAAGCCATCCAGATTGGTGGCCATCACAGCATTTACATTTCTATGATACTTACTTGTTCTGTCCTCAGATATTCCAAGGTGCTCTCTTTGCTCAGGGCCCCTGGCTCTTTGCCTTTCACGTCAATCCCTTGCGTTCTTTTAAACCCCTTTCTGAATAGAGAATTTGTGCTACTGGGTCTTCATCTAATTCTCCTAACATCTAATTTTATTTATTTATTCATTCAAAACTTTTATATGCTCTCCTCTATGCGTGGCATCTCAGGACGGCTTACAAACATTAAAATCAAAAATGAATAAACAATACATATATAAAGCAATATACAGTCAATAAAAATAAATAAAGAGCAAGTTCTCCCCAGTAAGACCCTGTGCCAGTTTAGAATTGGTTTCCCCTAAACTTTCAGTTAATGTAATATTTCTCCTAAGTTCCCCACTCATAGTTTTCAAACCATAAAGTTTTAGAACACAAGATACAGAGGATATAGGAACTTCAAACTTGATTTTCCTGGGGGACCAAACTTGCCATTTCAGTGACCCCTCTCCCTTCTTCCTAGGCTTCCTATCTGAATACTGATAAATTTGGAGGTTGCTTCTGTAAAGAGATATAACAGGGTAAGCAACTGTATGTCAGTAGTTAGCAGTGCAAAAATGCAAAATTGATTGCCAAATGCAGGATTCCACAACCTGCTGCCCTCCCGAAGTTTTGGATGACCAGTTTCCCCAAATTTGTGACCATTGGCCATTCTGTGCTGCCTGGGGTTTTGAAACATTTGCAGGGGACCAGATCGGGGGAAGTTGTTTCAGTATTGCATTGTTTTTATCTCTTATACAACACTGCTATATTTTTGTTTCACTATTCCACTTTGCTTTAATGTATCTTGCCCAGGGAAATAAAGTAAAATGCTGTGGAGCTGACAGGCCAAGCTTTAATGCATCCTTTTATATCAGTTTCAAAGGGATGAAATAATAAGATCCCTTGATCCCTAAGAACTGAGGATCTGATTTAGGTTAATGTTGCCAGGGG